TGCCGAATGAGTGTCCGGCATGCGGAGAGACCCCACATGACTCGAAAGATCTCTTCGCATGCCCGGAAAACCCGACAACCCTAACGGCCTTGTCCCTGTGGACAAACCCCACAGAAGCTGCACGCTTCCTAGGGTTGCCGTTAGTGGAACTTGACGACAGCGACTGATACCAACCGTCCTGGGCGGGGTTGTTGTAGCCGCTACAACAACAACAACCATAACATTATTTTGAGCTGTCTAAACTATTTGCTCACAAATTCTATACATTTTCTTTTAAATAAGTGTATATTTTTTCTTTTTTGGTATCTTCATTTAGCATATTAAATCTTTTAAAACCTTTATAGAATACATTATTCTGTGATGACGCCTTGCCATGTTTCTGTAGTCTTAAATCAGTTGCGTTTCTTAATTCATATGGCTGCACTCCTCCGACGTAGATGACATTCTCCGATATGTAGTCCGGCATTTTACCACTAGTAGTCAGATATACAAACAATTGTGATGAACTTAGCTTTATTGCTGTCTTTTCTTAAAACTCTTTATTTTAATAATTTAATTTTACTCGCAGCTTGTTTACAGCCGCTTGCTGGTTGTCGAACTGTCAAATTTCGATTATCCAGACGATAGTTGGCAATCGTAATACAAATTTTCTTTCCAGTTGCATTGCCAGCTGGCAACCGAACCGTGGTTGCGTTGCTATCCGTAATCGACCCATTATTATCTGGTATCTGATATAGGCCGACCCGTATTTTAAATGAAAATTATTAACAATAAATAAATAAAGATAAGTTGCCAACAGCATCATTTTGAATCTTGATTCTATTATTTTGACCGTAACTGTATATTCACATACATATTCATATCAATTCAGGTCTATTACATGCGCCCCACGCTTTTCATTTTCAATCTCATAAATGGTTTATAACTTTAGCAAAAATTTCAAAATCAAAACAAATTCTATGGGACTGATATTATTTTCTAATTTTTAGTCCCTTTATAAAAGCGTTGTATATTCAAGTTTTTTTGCCTATTATTTATTTTTAATAATTTCGCCCCATCCTTAAAAACGTACTAAACTAAACCAAAGTAAACATTTCCCATTATCAGTGTACGCATATTTCAGCTATATTCAGCCCTATCCCCAATTCCATGTGAATAAATCGCTCCCATAATTTAACCTGCAAAACAAAAACAAATTGGGAAACATTGTTTTTGTTTTGCTTTATAATTTTTGGCAATATTTGTTCATGTGAAATTCGCAATAGGGCCGATTATTTTTTTTTAATAAGTGTAGACTCTTGTCTAGAAGTGTGTGTAAAAGCTTGTGCACGGCAACCTAAAATCTTTGCACAATAACTAAACCGTATCTAGAGCAATCAAAATCGCCAGTTTTTAGCGAGTGTTGCTGGAGTGACTGCTTGGCCAGATACAAATCTCGGTCGTTCCAGTTATGTAGACCTGACTGTGGTGGAAATATATCGGTCAAGCCAAATGGTTTAAGCAATTAGTCCAAGTTCCACTTGAAAAATCTGAGCTCGAATCGTAACATCCGTTCACCGATCGAAAACCATACGAAAGGAAATTACGTGATACTGTCAGTCGTATAAGCTAAATGGGATAGAGTACGCTCACGTGTTATAATCCGAAAACGATGTTTTTACGTGACGAGTAATACGCGTATTACGATATCGTATGTGACGATTCGAGCCCTGTATTCATTAAATACAAAAATTAAGTTTTGAGAGGTGTATATTTTATATTATTTTTAAACACTTTCCCCCTATTCAACTTTTGGTTACTCAACATCCTTGGAAACGACCGTTAGCCTTCATGCGTTCAAAAGATTTCTGAGCATCATAGTTCCTGAAAAAAAGTATGTATTATCTAGTCTTAAATCAAATAAACTTTCAATTACTTGTAGAATTCTGCATAAGCCTCTTTCTTGGGTCGGTTGATTAGAAAACTCCAACCGACTGTTACCACCGCGGTCAGCGCGAGAGCAATGGTAAGGTTCTTCTTGATGGTAGCGTTATGCAAACCACGCAATACGGGCTTGGCAGCACTCACAGTGGTAGGAGAATTTGTCATCGTAACTTCTATTAAAAATGGTTACGTAACAAAATACCAGATTAAAATAAAAATTTTATTTGAATAGGTATCTTTAGCAATGTATTATGATTGAGTTCAGTTCACAACTATGTTAAAATACACACCGATAAAAGATTTTTAGAATAAGTAAAGTTTAAACTAGGGACGAAACGAAATTTGACAAATCACACACTAAAAGTAGAGGTGAAATGATACGAATAAATAAAAAGTATATACTCGATACTTTTCGTTTGGTACAAGTAATTGACAGTGTTGCCGCGAGTCAGTTACGGCACCCTGAAATTGTGTATATGGAAACTGTATACGAAATAATGCATATGAAAAAAACCGAAATAATGTATACAAAGAAAAACCGATATAATGCATATGAGAAAAACCGAAATAATGCATATATGCACAGTTTCTGTTGAAAACCGCAATAATGCATATTAGAAAAACCGAAATTATACATATGCACTCTTTCGTTTGAAAACCGAAATAATGCATTTGAAAAAACCGAAATAATGCACATATGCACAGTTTCGGTTTAAAACCGAAATAACGCTTATGAAAAAACCGAAATAATGCATATGTGAAAGACGAAGTAATGCATACATGCACAGTTTCGGTTGAAAAACGAAATAACGCATATAACAAAAACCGAAATAATGCATGTATGCACAGTTTCGGATGCAAACCGAAATAATGCATATGTGAAAGACGAAGGTATGCATACATGCACAGTTTCGGTTGAAAACCGAAATAATGCATATAACAAAAACCGAAATAATGCATGTATGCACAGTTTCGGTTGGAAACCGAAAGAATGCATATGAAAAACCCGAAGTAATGCACTCATGCACAGTTTCGGTTGAAAACCGAAATAATGCATATGAAAAAATACCGAAATTATGCATATGCATACTTTCGTTTTAAAAGCGAAATAATGCATATGGAAAAACCAAGTAATGCATACATGCACAGTTTCGGTTGAAACCGAAATAATGTCTAAATGCACAGTTTCCATATGCGCAATTTCGGTGCCCTATTTTTAGTGGTAGCCAAATTCCTTTAAAAAAAGGGCTAAATAAGAGCTACAAAAAGTCATTGTGGCTGAAAATGCTAGCTAAAATTGTTTACTTACGTATACATATAAAAGTATACACGCAAACATTTTCAATAAGTAATGGTATAGAAAAACAATGAACTCTTGAAAAAAAAACCAATATTTTATCCAACCAAAACCTTTTTGTATAAAATACGGGAAATATACGACACCAGCACGCTGGCTCGATCAAGTGATTGTACCATCAGGCTCGAAGCATATAACTTACCAGCATGCTGGTACAATATTTATTTCTTTCCAAATGAGATCGAGGAAAGATCGAAATGATTAAGAGCTGAAATTTCATAACTTTTCTACCATTTTGGTAAACATTGTTCTTTTTTCTAATTCGCAACTGCAATATCGTATATAACTTAATATTCCACAAACACGGCTTTGACTCATATAGTGCAAGAAATTACCGCCAAAATATTTTTTACTTAGAAATTTAGGCCACCATTTAACCACTCGCGACACCAGAATGCTGGTACAATCATAAAATTTTCAAATAGTTTTTAATGTCGCACCAGCAGCTGGTACAATTACACCATAAGAACATATACGGTCAATCGTTGATTAGCGAGCGCAAATGAACTATGTTTACTTAATCTGAGTTTAAACTGGCACTGAAAAACTGGCCCTCAGGGCCGTAAACTTATCTATTTTAAACCATAGTTAAATCGTTAATAGTTAAAGTGTGTTTGCATTGTTCAACTTTGCGTTCAACATTTGCGTTCAACTCAGCGCAGGGTTGCACGAAAAAAAGTTGAATGGCTAAAAATATCAAAATATGAAAAAATATCAAAATATTCGCCATAAAAAGGTGTTTGCATTGTTCAACTTTTGCATTCAACTTTTGGTTGAATGGCCTTTCAACTAATCGCTGTCAACAAAGTTGGTCGCCAGCCAAAATTTAGCCATTCAACTTTTTTTTCGTGCAACCCTGCGTTGAGTTGAACGCAATTGTTGAACGCAAAGTTGAATAATGCAAACACTGCTTTAAGCTAACAGCCCTAACACTTTTACAGTACGTATGTATAAAAACGTAAGGAACATACAATACATATATCTAGTTGCGTTCCAGGTGTTCACGATATTCACGATTTTCACGATTTGCAGGCTTTTTTTGCAGGAAAGCGTTCCAGGTGCCAAAAAACCTGTAAGTCAAACCATTATTGTGAGAGTAACTTGCTCTCTCTCTCAGTCAAAAGTTGCAGGTTTTAGTCCGAAGTTTTTCTTCCTGCAAGTTCATGAAAAGTGTCAAACTATAGGCAGGGTTGCATTTGTAAACAAAAACAGAACCTTAAGCGCCACGGAGACAATCAAATAAATACGTGAAGCATTGCATATGTACGAGATTGGCCAGCAACGTTGAAATAAATTCGTCAATTAAACAAACAATTTATTTTTCTTGTCCGCGCACTTGCTCACCACGACGATCAGAAGGCAAGTGCGCTTGTTTTTTGTCAAGCATAACGCGAGACGGTTGATAAAGATATTTGATCGTCTCCATGGCACTCCACATTTAAAAAAAAAATCGAAGTAGTTACAGGAAAAGTGGTTTTTCGCGTTCCAGGTGACTTTTATTGTTTCGCTCTCGCTCCTCTCTTTCAAGAGAGTGATTTTGTTATTTGACAGTTTCACAGGTTTTTACACGTAGTTATCTGGAACGCAACTTCTATATATATCAGTCTTTATTAGTTTAAAAATTCATCTCTGACATAAATGCAAAAAAAATAGATCAAATTAAGCATATACAACTTTTTCATGCCAAGTATGAATAAATTCTCCGAAGGGCGAAAAAAGGGCTAGGGGCCATTTTTAAGTATGTCTAGCCACCAAAATGCTCAAACGGTAAACATTAGGTTTGCATAGTAACCAATAGTCAGTACTAATTACTAATTTGCAAGAGCACTGAATCGAGAGCGTAACAACACGGGAGAGCTGCAAATGCTTGCTAGTGAAATTTCTACTAGCCGAAATTAGCTAGCAGAAGAAGAAGAAGAATAAGTGTCAAAAGCCGCCATTTGTTGAATTGGTTTAGCACAAATAAAAGTAAAATGAGTAGAAATCAAAATATTAATGATGTACTGGACTGTGTAAGTGCGTGTGTGTAAAGCAAAGCGTTTAAAAATGATTTATAAATATTAAAATGTTTACAGCAGAATATCAAAACAGTGCAACAACTGTTCACTTGCAAGTTTTTGCTAGTTTTGTGTTCATTAACTTTTTCTGTACATTTACGCGAGTTCGAAATCGTATGCTTTTGACAAACAGCCGTGTTCCAGTCGCTTATGGGCTGTTTTTGCTTACGCATAAAAGCACATTTAGCGCATTTAGCTCTAAATGCTACTCTAAATGTACATTTATCCATACAAAATTCGTCACCTAAATGCAACTCCATTTTTGCATTAAGAATCTAAATGCTAAAAGCAACCCTGTGATCTTCCAAAATTTCCACGATTCGAACATGGTTTAATGAGAAAAATTGGCAACATTGCTTTTTCGCGTATACAGTGGCTAGCTGCGTTTCAGTGATCGCCGATCGAGATTTCATTTATTATTTTACATTATTTGGATAAACAAAAGTTACGCCAATTCAACATCGATGTGATGCTGATAGAAATCTGGATCAATTTGTGATCAAATCTGTTTGTTTTGTTTCCTAATTAGGTGAGGAAATTTTAATTGACAGCACCGACAAATGAATATATACACAAACAAATGTTCGGTTATGGTTAAAACAATTCAAGTTTTTGTATTGAATTTTTGGTTTAAAATGTATTTTTTTCTTTTCAGTAGGGTTTTTTGCACATTATCTTCTGCGTGAGAATTGATCGTAATAGATACGGATCTGAATAAGCGACTGGAACACGGCTGTTTGTCAAAAGCATACGATTTCGAACTCCCGTAAATGTTCATTTGCTAAATGCGATAGCATGAACGCTCTTCGAAAACATATGTTCGAAAGTGCTAAATGTTGCATTTTAAATGCAGCAAAAACGCTGCATTATTCAGATCCGTATCTATTACGATAAATTCTCACGGAAAAGAGAGTGTGCAAAAACCCCTACTGAAAAGGAAAAAATAAATTCTAAACCGAAAATTCAATACAAAAACTTGAATTATTTTAACCATAACCAAACATTTGTTTGTGTATATATTCATTTGTCGGTGCTGTCAATTATAATTTCCACACTTAATTAGGAAACAAAACAAACAGAGTTGATCACAAATTAATCCAGATTTCTATCAGCATCATATCGATGTTGAATTTGCGTAACTTTTCTTTATCTAAATAATGTAAAATAATAAATGAAATCTCGATCGGCGATCACTGAAACGCAGCTAGCGACTGTATACTCGAAAAAGCAATGTTGCCACTTTTCTCATTAAAGCATGTTCGAATCGTCGAAATTTTGGACGATCACAGGGTTGCTTTTAGCATTTAGATTCTTAATGCATAAATGAGTTGCATTTAGTTGCATTTAGGTGACGAATTTTGTATGGATAAATGTACATTTAGAGTAGCATTTAGAGCTAAATGCGCTAAATGTGCTTTTACGTGTAAGCAAAAACAGCCCATTATTTACATTATTGAAAATGAATTTAAATCGCAAAATTTTATCAATTGGGGTAAATTTGGTAAGCAAAGCGTTGGTAGAAGTGCTTTTAGCGAAGTTGAAAGATAAAATAAAAGTAAACAAGTAAAAAATAAATAAGTATGTATACAGAACAGTGTTCGCATTTTTGGTACAATTGTACTTTTTTGGTAAAATTACGTGTACAATATACTTTCCTACTACGCAGTACTTTTTAGTACAATTTCGTGATGAATACCATAAATACTCTTTGAAATACGCCTTGAAAAATCACTGCGGGGAATTTTTTATTCTCTTTTTGTCTTCGCCTTCTCTTTGTAAGTTTTGAAATCTCATAAAAAAAAAATGTCGAAATCTGCTGCAGTGTCATCGTTAATTAAGAAAGAGATGTTCTTAAATATCATAACTTTATGACACTAACTCATTTATACTTTCTTGTTTATAAAAATATAATTTATTCCGTAACAAAAAATTACCATAAACATTTCGAGCTTTCTATTTCATTTTTTTTTTTTTTAATATTTTGCCG